GGTTGGGGTGTAGGGTTAAGGGTTAAGGGTTAAGGGTTAAGGGTTGAGGGTTAAGGGTTAAGGGTTAAGGGTTTAGATTGTCGCGCTCGTGATTTAAAATAAATCTATGGTTTAGGGTTGAGGGTTGAGGGTTCAGGGTTTAGGGTCTAGGGTTCGGGGTGTGGGGGTCACGAGTCGTTGACGATGGCTGCCGCTGCAATCTCGTCGCACGGCTCGTTGGAGGCGAGGGCTGTTCTAGGAACCCCAACCCCCAACCCATAATCGCACAACCTACACTACGCTCCCTAGCCTCCTCCTGACTCCTGACTCCTGGCGGCGGAAAACAGCAACAGGGCAACACGGGGTGGGGTTCGGGGGTTTAAGGGTTAGGGTTTGGGGTGTGGGGGTCACGAGTCGTTGACGATGGCTGCCGCTGCCATCTCGTCGCACGGCTCGTTGGAGGCGAGGGCTGTTTGCAGCTGTTAGGGGCTAGGGGTCAGGGTTTAGGGGTTAGGGTGGAGGGTCACGGCTCGTTGGATGAGAGAGATGTGTGCAGCTGTTAGGGGCTAGGGGTTAGGGGTTGGGGTTGGGGATTGAGGTGTGGGGTTCAGGTTTTGGGTTTTGGGGTTATAGGGCCATCTCGTCGGACGGATCGTTGGATGCGAGGGATGTTTGCAGCTGTTTGGGGTTCGGGGTTTGGGGTTCGGGGTTTAGGGGTTGGAGTTCAGGGTTTAAGTTGGGGTTTAGGGTTTCGTTGGAAGCGAGCGCGGTGCGCAGCTGCGGGTTGGGGTTTGGGGTTCAGGGTTTAGGGGCTGGGGGTTGGGGTGTGGGGTTCAGGAATTGGGTTTGGGGGGTTAGGGCCATCTCGTTGCATGGATCGTTGGGAGGCGAGGGATGTTTGCAGCGGTGTGGGGTTTGGAGTTTAGGGTTCAGGGGTTGGGGTTTAGGGTCTAGAGTCTAGGCTAGACTTTTGGACGCACATGGGGGTTAGGATCTAGAGTTTACCGCCTTCAGGATTTAGGGTTTAGGGTTTAGGGTTTAGAGTTCGGGGTTTAGGATTTAGGGTTTAGGGTTTAGGGTTTAGAGTTCGGGGTTTAGGATTTAGGGTTTAGGGTTTAGGGTTAAGGGTTCAGAGGTAACAGCCTGCCCCGGGGCGCCAAGCTCGACCATCACCTCCTCCCCCACAAACCCCGCACAGTACGGCTCGTCGACGCGCAGCGCGCAGAAGCCGTCCTGGCGCTCCGAGGGCGCGGCGTTGTTGCACTCCGATGAGTTGCACGTGCGGCAGTTCTCGTAGGCGGCGTATGGCCCCGTGCATGACCTGGGTTGGGGTGAAGGGTTGACGCTTTGTTGTTTTGTATGGTTTTTTGGGGGGTTGGTTTATTTTTGGGGGTTGGTTAGGGGGTTTAGGGGTTAGGGTTTACGGTGTAGGGTGTAGGGTGTAGGGTTTAGGGTTTGGGGTTTAGGGTTTAGGGCTGAGGTAGGGTTCAGGTAGGGTGTAGGGTTAAGGGGTTAGACCCGCTGTTGAAGTATGGGGAGAGCGTCTGCTCGAGGCATGCCAGCAGCATGACTTTAGGGGTTGGGAATCTAGGGTTTAGGGTTCAGGCTTCAGGGTTGAGGGTGCAGGGTTCGGACCCGTTGTTGAAGTATGGTGAGAGCGACTGCTCGAGGCACCCCAGCAGCATGAACCGCGTCCCGGATGCTGATAGCGCCTGGTTCAGGGTTGAGGGTTTAGGGGTTAGGGGTTCGGGTTTAGGGCTTAGAGGTAAGGGTTTAGGGTTTAGGGTTTAGGGGTTCGGGTTTAGAGTTTGGGGTTTAGGGTTTAGGGGTTAGGGGTCTAGGGTTAGGGGATCGGGGTGAGGGGTGAGAGTTGAGGGTTGGGGGTGTAGGGTTTACCTCGGATGAGAAGCACACCTCCCCCTGGAGGCATGTCTGCACCCCGCACGTGCGGCACCCTGAGGGCATCAGGATGTGCTTTGTTGAGAGGCACCTGGTTTGGGCGTGGGGGTTGAGGGTTTGGAGGTGGGGTTGAGGGTAGGGTTTAGGGTTGAAGTGGGGTTTAGGGTTTAGGGTTTAAGGTTTAGGATTCAGGGTTTACGGTTTAAGGTTTGGGTAGGTTTTAGGCAGAGAGTGCTTAGCGTTTAGGGTGGAGGGTGTAGGGTTTGAGTAGGTTCAGGTAGGGATTAGGTAGGGTTTAGGTAGGGTTTAGATAGGATTTAGGAAGGGTTTCGAGAGCAGGGATTCGGGTGTAGGGTTGAGGGTTTGGGGTTGCATGCTGCAGCGGGGCGCCGTCTCGCGAGCATGGCTCGAAGTTCCCGCTCGCCTCCCGGAAGCTCAGCTACAGAATGGCTCAAAATTAATAGCGGCGCAACCTATAACTAGTTTTTTAAAGCAACTCGTTCCTGGTACAAATTATAAAACAAGGCCTCGTTTAAAAAGGAATTGGAGCCCTTTTTAGTTTTAGATGGACCTTGTTTTATAAGTTGTACCAGAACGAGTTACTTTACAAAACTAATTATAGGTTGCGAGCCTATGAAAATGCCTGGGAATCTCGCG